TGCAAACAGGTTGCAGTAATTCATATGTATTAGGTACTACTGAACATGAATAATAGTGCAGTAAAGTGTAATGTAGTATTCAAAGTATAACTTCAGATTTGAAGAATCTCCTTGTGTGTCTCTTCTCTGTAGCAGTGGCTAAGTAAGAATAAAGACACAGCTGCAGCTGAAAATTGCTGGTGTATGTAGTTCAAATGCCTTTAAGAAGGTTATTTCAGATTGTAGAAACATACATATGTTGGCAGGTAAGCAATCCAGTCAGGACGAAGTAAACCAAGAAGAAAGAAAACAAGAAAGCTGAATAAAGTAGCTGCAGTGTGTTATCAAGGTGAAGGCTTTGAGACCACTGACAAGCAGCCTGACGTTCTTGTGAGCACAGCGGCTACATGTCATTATAAAGTTTTAGATAAGCTCAAAAGAGATGGCAACAAAGCTGCAAGAATGAAGTTAAAATGGTGAAAAAAGAACGCCAAGATTGAGGTCAAACAGTTTCTAGTTGTAGCACTGAATCAAGATGAATGCATAGCAACAGTGAAATGCAGAGGCGGCCACTTTATACTCCAGATGAAGTGAAAAGGATTGGAATTGGGTCATGGTTTCGGTGTTTGGTACTAGTCAGGAGTGTCTCTGCTGCATGGTTAAACAGCTGCTGGTGCGATAAGGAAGATCTCTGCACAGAGAGAACTGCAGAAATTCAGGAAAGAGGCAATAAAGGCAGATGGTGTGATTTCATAATCTTTTACGTGGATTAAATCGAAAAATCTGGTCCTGATAAATGTTTAGCTGATATGGTCTAATGTATTCAGACATAACAGAAGATTAGGATAACAATATTTCACCTGAAGGAATACTCCCACTGTTGAGGTGCAATTGCATTTTTTACTGTGATATTTATATATAAGTGTTTGAATGCCAGATTTGGTTTTCTATCACTAACGCATGACTCTGGCTTCATTTGTTGGTGCAGCTGGAGGTGTTCCTGACTCAGCGTCTGAGTGAGATGAGAGAAGAGGGCGATGTGGTAGCTATGAGCCAGTTCCAGCAGGCCCCCTCGGTCATCCAAGGCCAAACCTGCGAACACATCCAGGCGATGCTGTCTGAGGTGCAGGACCTTCTGGGGAGGCTCACCTCTCTCCGGATGCAGCACCTGTTCATGATTCACGCCTCTCCACGGTATGATGGTCGCCAGAATATCAGCATGATCACCACTGAGCTCTATTTCAGGAACCAATGTGAATACATAACCTTGTTGTAAAATAACACACATAAGATGAAGAACTATCATTTCAAACTTCTCTTTTAGCACTTTATTGTGACTTTTGTATATAATAGCTTAACAAGTTTATAGCTTAGAGCAAGGGTGGGGAACTCCAGGCCTTGAGGGCCGGTGTCCTGCAGGTTTTAGATCTCACCCTGCGTCACCACACCTGAATCAAATGATTAGTTCATTACCAGGCCTCTGGAGAACTTCAAGACATGTTGAGGAGGTCGTTTAACCATTTAAATCACCCGTGTTGGATCAAGGACACATCTAAACCCTGCAGGACGCCAGCCGTTGAAACCGGGAGTTCCCCATCCCTGTGCTTATTTCAGAAAGTGAAAGTTAGAATTTGTGCCACAAAATCTGGAGTTTCTGTACTCTTAAGGATCCCCTTTCTCCAATCAGACCCAGAAAAAACCTTTGCAGATAAAAAATTGCAAGCCTGATATTACCTTGACATTCATGTCTGTGGTTAGTGTGATTAGCTCTGTGATTCATTTCTACCATAACTGGCTGTGATTTAAGAGACAGTTAACTTTTATTATTCTGTCTCTCTTCTGTAGAAGGGAAATTAAAGTATAGAATGCTTAATTAATTGCCTTGTAGCGGGTCCTTTTTTATGTAAAGTACACTGACAATACATTTTATTCTGTATAAATAATATAAGCTACTTTGAGCTGCTCACTTATTCACAGCGGGTAGCTCTGCATATTTGATTTGGCAGATTTTTACACCAGATGCCCTTCCTGACACAAACCCCTCTGTGACTCCTTGTGGGCTCAAACTGGGGCTCTTTTGCTTGTTAGGCAAATAAGTTAACCGCTACAATACAGAGCCACTTATTCAGTATAAATGACATAAATCATTTCTATCATGAGCATCAGTCTTTAAATAAAGTGGAAAAACCCCTTTGTATGCATCAGAAATGTTGCACCTTTTGTTCATTATTTTTAATGTGATGTGCATGTTCAGGTATGTTGAGCGCGTGTCAGAGATGCTGAGACAGAAAATGAAGCAGGCTGACATTCTGGTGCTGAAAGGAGCCACAATGGCAGAGAAGAGGCAGGAAGCCCTGCAGGAGCAGTCCAGGCTGGAGCCTCGTGTTGACCTGCTGGCAGGATGCACCCGGGAACTCCAGAAGCTGGTACAGCATTATTTTTTTGTATTTGTTTCTGTTTGCACGGTGGATAATTTACTAGCTATGTCAAATGAGGAGGCTGCAGGAAGCAGAAAATACTGAAAACTGTCATTGTGAGATCTCTGTTTAAATATGAGCAGACACATAAAGGTATTCATATTCTATGTGACATGGAAACGGTACAAATTCTAAGTGTTACGCCGACAATGTTCTCAGAAGTAACTGATGATTGTTATGTTTGTTTTCACAGATCGAGGCAGACATTTCAAAGCGATACCACAACAGGCCTGTGAACCTGATGGGGGTTAATATTTAGTGAACTTCAGACAGTCACTGAAAATATTTTGTCATGATCTACAACAGAAATTAAAAAAGTGATATTTAATGTAAACTTTTGTTGGGGTTTTTTTTTTGTTCTTTGCGTTTTTGTATAACTGCTGTAGAGATAAAGAAACAAGCAATGTTGAAAATACTAAAACGTGATAAAAATAACTTGTGTATTGTTAGGATTGGTTTAAAACCAGGGAATAAAACTGGATTTTAAGCAGGTTTCAAGTTTTGATGCCCCTGTATTAAAACAAAATATATTACTGTCCAAAAGTCCGGAGCCACCACTCATTTCTTTATATTTCGCTTCCAAGAAACCTGATTTTCTTGAAATTTTTCTAAAGTGGACCTCTGAAGTTTTTCTTTGGACATTGACTGCTTTTTCACTCATTTTCAGTCCAGTCCTTGTACCTAACCATTTTCAGAGGAATGCTTGAAAAATGCCAAAGACAACACTGATTTGCAGTTATAAACTGGTATATTTGCACCAACAAGGTGATTCTAAAAAAGCTATTGGCCAAAAAACAAACACACTGCGTAGCGTGCAGTGTGACCTTAAGAAATTTGAGGAAACTGGACAAGTTTGGGGCAAAAGGAGCGACAGACTTGAAAACATTTTTGAAAAACAGCAGATGAACAGTATCTGAAGGTCATGTCATTAAGAAATAGGAATAAATCCATCAAAGACCTGAGAGATGCATCTGGACCTTCAGCTGAGCCATGTACTATTCACTGAAGCCGCGTCGGAAATGATGAAAACTTTTCATGACCACTGGCTGAAGAACAAGATCTTCTTTGTCGCTGATGTTTGCCAGAATTTTCTGGTTTATTTTGTTTTTCCGTATGTGTGTTTTGTTTCTTTAGACTATGCATCCATAATATGAATGTCATACTTTGACTTCTATATGTTATTATGACTGCAAAGGAACCTTACAAACCTCTTTAAATATATTTATAATATAAATACATTTTCATTTTATTATCATTGAAAAGCATTGTCATTGCTTTCAAGACTCACTATAATTAAAAAACTAAATATTTGAAATTTAAAAGACTGGTTGAAGGTGATTAAATCACCCCCAACTCATCATTCTTGATTTACAAATTCTTGTAAATCAAGAATTTACAATATTTAAGTTGTAAATTTACAAGAAAACACTAAGAAAAAGGTCAAATTTATGTCAAAACTTAGCTAAATAAAAATGAATATTTTTACCTAAAAAAAAAGTCCTCATAAATATATGAGGGGAAAAACGGAAAATGAAAATTAGTCAATGACATTAGTCATAACAAATATGACTAAAATATGACTAATTCAGCTCAACATTACCACTTTGTTTAGCTGAAAAGTGCAGTAACCAACTGTAACAAAGTGATTTCCTCAATATTTCCAACAATATTACAGCAGAATAAAGGGCCGCTGTGTTTTATGAAAAGGACGCTTTGGCTGTAAAGTTATTACTTAATATGCGTGCAATGTGCTTTCCCGTTCTGCACTTTTTAGACTGTCCCAATGCAAAAAAGGGTCGGAAAAATACAAAGCATATGAATGATGACACAGTGTTACCACTAGTTCTTGTTTAACAGGCTAAAAAGGTTTCAGTAACAGCGTTGCACATATGCTGTGAGGCACAGCCTGCTATGGACAATCACAAAATCAAAATCAAAATGGTTTAAAAGTTCCAAGAGAGGTCAATAAAATCAAAACAAAAACGTGGATTTATAACTTAACACTGATTTTTTTTCTGGGTTCTGGAGAGCTATTTTGTATTTAAAATTATATTTTGAAACCACTTTTCAACAACTAGGTTTACATTTAGTCTCAGGACAGATGTTTTTTAAAATATTTTGTGCATATTGTTTTCAAATTCATGGCTGGGCCAGAAAATGGCCTGCAATTGTAGAATGCACTGAATTTCTCCCCAGCTTGAACCTTGAAAAGTAAACCTGCCGATAATTGACTCAAAAAACGAAAAAGAAAGGAAGTCCAAGATTTCCTAAATGTTCCAATTATATTTTAAGTAAACTAACTTCCCCTTTTTCACGTAATTTTGCGTGTTTTTCCCGTAATATTTACTTTTATTTCTTGTAAATCAAAACATTACAAAATATTTTTTATTTCGAAATTTTACATGCATGTCCTCACCCTTGACCTTTTTTCATTATCATTATTATTATTATTATTATCTTTATTTTGCCGTCGTATACTTGTGGAAGATTACCAGCGGGGGAATTTTCAGTCGGCTGATGAAAGCTTGCCACTAGAATGTTCTACGCATGCTCTGTGTGAAAGCGTGTTTTGGTGTCAAGCGGCGCTGCTAGGCTAGCCGGGCTAGCTAGCAATTTTGCAAGTCATGGTGGGCCATTCAATGAGGAAAGGCTGGAGAGTGCTGTATCTGGCATCACTGTGGAACTTTTAATGAAAAAGGACTTGTTACTATTCTAAGCTGACTTTGAGGCATGAAGGCACACTTGCAAAATCTTCATGCGTAAGTATTGCAATCAAAAGGTTTTAAATTAAATAAGTAATACTGTGCGGCGAAACCGCATTGACTTACGGCGCAAGCTAACGTTATCAGACACGTAAATTAATAAAAAGTGATGTTTACGGGAGGGCAATGAACATAGTGGTGTATCTTGTTTACGTTACTTTTAAAACTAACTGAATTGTTTAGGTAGTTAGAAGAAAACTAGCTCATAAGGCTAGCACAGTGTACGTTTTGAGTTCCAATAGTAGTTGGGCATTTTCTGTCAACCCCGCCCTTGCCCTATTCTTATTGGTCGGGAGTAACTGGAGTCATGTGTCGTCGCTGCGCCCAAAGCATGTGGATGGCTGTACTTTCTGTCAATCACCTTTTCACCACTTGTTGCTAGGGAGATTGTTGATGCTAGCTACAGCGGAAGTAGGCAGTCCTAAAATTAAAATATAAACAGAGAAAGCTGTCATTTATTTAAGGGTAAGTGGATAAAACGCATCACAGCTACTTTGTCTTGTGTAATAAGGTAATGCGTAGTACCGATAGCCGGATTTTAAGAGACAGGGCAGCTAACAGCTAACGTCGTAAGGACGAAAGGAGGGAGGGACCGTGCCATCCACCTAACATTGGTGCGTATGCTAGCAGCCCAGCGAGCTTTCTGGACTCCCTCATTCACCTTCAGCAGCACCCACACGAAGTAGTTGTCCTGTCAAGGGTGGGGTGATGCCTGGAGCTCTCTCTTCACCATCTCTGGGCTGCTGAATGTCCAGCAATGAGGAGGCATTGCGCGTTGCGAACCGACATCACTTATTTAGTCTTTAGAGGATGGAGTGGTTGCAATGGGCTAGCAAGTCCTGTTTTCATTAACATGTGCCTAAAGCAAATGTAGGTAGGTAAGGCTTGGCGTGCTTCAGGGCTGAATGTATTGTAATGTTTAATTTTATTGCAAAAGAGCATTAACACATTTATTTCTCACTTTTGCCAGGAATGGGATGATGACACTCTTTTGAAGAGCAGAGCTTTGACTTTAAACTGGACTCTCTAAAAAAGTGAAAACCTCATCTTGGATCCTATACAGCTTTTTGACATAGATAATCCTGTTGACAACCCTCCCCTTTTGCTATATTTAACTGGTTTTTATGTTCATGTATCTATCTCAGTCTTTTAGTGGTAGTGGAGAACTATTGATCCAAGAAAGTTGGCCCCCTTTTTGTTTTTGTTTTTTACTTTCACCTTTTGTTCCTTTGTAAAGAAATGCTTTACCTGAAAAAGTACTTCACAGAGGGCCTGATTCAGTTCACCATCCTTCTGAGTCTCATTGGGGTGCGGGTGGACGTTGACACCTACCTAAACAATCAGCTGCCCCCACTGAGAGAGATCATCCTGGGGCCTAGCTCAGCCTACACCCAGACACAGTTTCACAACCTGCGCAACACGCTGGACGGCTATGGCATCCATCCAAAAAGTGTGGACCTCGATCGTTTCTTCACCACTAGACGACTGCTAAACCAGGTGCGCCAGCTGGATCGCCTCTTCGTGCCCAGTACAGAGCTCAACACCTGGCTAGTGCATCGTGACTCTGATACTGTGGTGTCCGCCAGCAGCCAGTCCAGCCCCACCATCACCCTGGACAATGGGGCCGGCCTAGAGGACGTTAACAACCCTGACGCTACCCCGGCCATGAGGGGAGGAAGTGGAGCGCCTGAATCCACATACAGTCTGAACACAGCGGACAGCA